CATACAGTAATACAACAACGACATACCCTACGCAAAAGATTACAACATATTATATAAATATTTGTAAGGCATTAACTCCTGATGAAAACGAAGGAAAAGACACATCATGCGAAGCCGGCACTAATATCTGCGAGATTATAACACACATAAGCAATAATAATACAAAGATGATTACTAGCATTAGATCGATTAAAGATTTTAAAAATGCGACACAAATTAAACTCTTTAAAAGCGATATTAATAATAATGGTGAACATTTTCGTAATTCCATACATATTATTATTATAAAATGAGATTATAAAGTAATTCAAAGACCTATTTAATACAACAGAGTCTCTTGAAGTTATATTGGAAGGAAAAGATAGTGACAATGTAAATCAGAGCGTAAATATAACTTTCTTTATTGGAGTAAGTATTTTTTCCACAAATAAGCCAAAATTATATTTTAATTATATTTTAGTTAACGAATATTTTGAATCTCTATAAAGCATACCGAAAATTCTGAACCAATTGTAAAAGAATACAAGGATAATAAATTATATATTGAATGGAATATTGAAGGTCCTAGGTGCGTTGAATCTTTCTACATAAATAATTTTAAATTTTAACTTATTTTTATATCAATCTCAAATATCCACTTCAAACACAGTGTAACAGATGATGATAGTAAAGGATGGAGTCCATTTACTATATTTCTATTCTTGTACGTAATGTTATTATTTGATACGTTGTTTATATTTAAGCAAATATAATAACTTATTACTCGATTTCGTAGAATATTTGTTGGCTTCTTGGGATATTTGCTCATAGGAATTGTTTATAATCATCAGACATATAATTCACATGGATGGGATTTATTACCGCATAGGTTTGTCAATGAGATTATTCTAATTATTTTTAAATACAAAAATTACTTGAACATTTAATAATATTTTCCAAAAATAATAGGGATTTTTGGAGAAGTGTTCCATATATGCTTTCGGTATTTTTATTTTTTATTTTTTTAATTATTTTTATTGTGACTTTAAAAATAATAATATAGTATAAACTCATATTTTTATAGGATCTTTCCAAAAATATACTAAATTACATATCAGGACACTACCGAGGGTATTCCCAAGTGTGAAGTCTGGAATGTTTAATAAAAATAATTTTATAATAGCTTTATATTAGAATTTGCTAATATATAAAATAGGTTTACACTTGCATGATTTTATCAGTAAAATTTTTTTATTATTAATTAAATATAATAATATATCAGGTTCATTCTACTTTAAGCTTTATTTTGCATTCCTTTTTTTTAGTTGTTTATACCGGCAACATATGCATACACCGACAAAGCATTTTCTTAATTTTAACCCTATATACTTAATACAAAAGATGTCTGGTTAAATCACCATCTGGATATAGTGTTTGTAGTCGACCAAAATTTTACGTACAGAATAGTAGAAATGCGTGAATAACAGGGGTTTCAGAATTAACTTATTTCGAATTATTTTTATATTAAAACTTAGAAATCGGAAAATGAACTCATAATTCTGAAACCCCCTAATAAAATCAATCAATTGATAATGCTCTATAAATATTGATTTTAATTCTAATTTTTTGTAATGACAAAAGTAAAATTACTTTTATTGTTTATCTTTTGTTACGATTTACTGCGCAGCTTTGTCAATACAAATCTTGCTATACAAATCATAACATAAAAATTTTATGTTAAAAATTTTTTTATTATACGGTGCGAACAACCTAGTCCCAATAAATAAATATACAAAATTTTAAATTACTACAAAAAAAAAGAATAAACATCTAAAAATTTTTTTAAATAATGGATCTAATCAAGCTAAACAAACTCATGATATTAAAATTTTTCTAAAAAAATTTTTAACAAAGTTACAAAGATTCAAAATTAGAGTAGTTTTATATTAAAATTTCAAATTTGGCTACTTTTACATAAGAAAAAATCACAAATTTGGCTATCTTATAGATTTTAAGCAAAATTTCAAATTTTGCCGCATCATTCAAATTTGGTTTCTAAAAAAGGTGCGCCAACAAAAATTTTGCGCACCGAAAGAATCGTGGTTTTACTTTAGGGTTAGGACTTTTATATTAGAGTTAGGGTTTAGATAAAAATTATTTTTTTAAAAAATTACAACTTTTATAAATTAACATATGAGCAATTAGGTAAAATTTCTAGCAATGTTATTATGTAAAATTTTGAGGAGATACTATTTGAAAATTCAATATCTTAATAAAATTATTGAATGACTAGGTTTCTTAAATCTTTACTATATAAATAGCCAAGCTTTAGTTGAATCGACTAAAGCCAAATCGACTACAAACATTATCGAACTATCAAATGATTTCTTTTACGTAGTGTCGGAGTTATTTTGTAAATCACATATCAGATATACTATATGCCTATGTTGTAAATGCGACCAAATTAATAGAATTTAAGTACTGGTCTAAAATATTAAGAAATTTAAAACACACTTAACGTTAAGAGGTAGTTCGCAGTTAAAGGGTATAAATTTCATATGTAGCAAAAATCAGCGGACAATTTACTAGTTGCCTTATTTAGAGGTCGTCTCGTCTTGGATCAGTTCGATGATAAAAAAAAAGTCAGAAATACGAAAAGATAAAAAAAATGGCTATCTAAACCTACTTCATAGCACTAATAAAAAATGTCAGGAAGGCGATTTTACTTATAATGGTTGCCCTAACCCGAATCTATAACTACCCTAACCCTAACTTTAATTAACAAAAGTTAAATTATATAAATACACAACGTTCCCCTTATTTAGCATTAGTAAATGGAGTGCTGTTCTTAAGAAAAAAAAAACCCCCCTATAGTAAACGATTAAAAAACACCAATACTCCTATATTAAGTTCTGCCGTTTTTTACTATGAAATTTGCTATTTTTTATACCCTTAGAGCCCGAACTACCTCTTAAATTATGTTACCATTTTGCAGTACAACATATAACTGTTTATTTATTCAAAAAAGAAGAATTTTACCTTATTATTCTAAAGAACTAGTTTACAAGTTTTAAAATTTATTCATAGAGATATATGCAAAAGTTTTACAATAATTATTAACATATAACAAAGGAAAATTATATTTTCAAAGCTAAATTCTCAATAATAATCCTAATACTGTAAAACGTTCAAAATAAAGAAAATAAGCAGTCTAAAACCCATGATGTGATCCATGTTATTAAAAGGAATACGGATCCATCTAACTTACCTCGAATCGATCAGGCATCAATACTGGTCCTACCAAAGTCCATGCGTATAACAAAAAACAAGCCCAGCTTGAAATGACCTTGACCCATACGGCGGTATATGTTTGTCCAATTCTAACAAGTTCTCCATCTTGTTTGTCTTCTTCCGTGGACACGTTATTCCTATAATATCAACATTCAACATTAATTAATTACTGAAATAATAAATTAACTCAACAACACACAAATAGTACGTATAAATATTTACCAGTTGGTAAGAAGCATCGCAACATACATCGATGCGATAGCGAATATGAGATGGAAGAATACATAACTATAGGCGACACTATCGCTTTCGTCGTCATTACCATAATCATCATCGTCGTCGTCGTCATCTAGAGCTGAAGCACGAAAAGCACTTAAAAAATAAAATGATAATATTAGAGAACACGTCCAAATATAACGAGAATAATAATTTAATAAATAAGAATAATTTAATATTATTTACCCGCTTTCAACAGAAGCAGCCAACACCGATTCAGATCGCATGTTGGGATTAAATCCGTTTGGCTGGTTAGTCATCAGTGGCACTGCTGTAGCAGTATTTAAAGGATGATAATCCGATTTAGTTATTAATGTCTTGCCTTGACTAGCGGCTCTGGTAGTTGAATATGCAATCGCCAGGAAAGTAAATACTGCTCCTAACACGATAGTTGTTGTGCGAGTTCCATTGCTTGTTGTTAACGGATTGCAACTTCCCGGTTCATTCGCCACCGCACTTGTGATTAAATATGTACAATAGATAACAACAACTGAAGCCTGCGAAAGTCCTGAACGAGGGTTTGCATACTGAACCGCCGGTTGAACGCATATGAATGTTCCGATGATACAAAGTACGAGATTAAATGTAATAAAGAATTGATTAAGACGACATTCACTTCCTGCAAAGTATCTGTATAAAATACCAGTAAGAACAATTGCAAAAGAAAACATTGCAAGTGTGGATCCAACAAGGATATATTTCCATTTATTATCTTCTGTTTCGTCATATTTCTCAATACAAGTTTCGCTCCACGTATGAGCAAAGTCAACCAAAAGTATCAAACCAACGATAATAAACAAGCTAGCTCCTAATAAGGCAACATAATTTCCCCAGAACATGAAGAATCCATTAGGAATGAAAAAGGAAATAACGACAAGAAATATCCATAACAAGACTTTAGGACCCCACCATCTATAAAAATATAAAAGTTAGATATATTAATATAATATAAAGTATTAAATTTTATAATTAAAACAATCATTACCCGTTTTGGATGGCAGCCCGTTTATCTTTAGTACTATTGACTTTGATGACTAAAAGTCCTAAAATAAAATGAAATAATGAAAGTGCAAAACATATACGATGTACCTACATGATCAATCAATCATATAAAATTAAATAAAAATTAATAAAAAAAGGATTAGTAAGAAGGAAAAGAATGTAATAAAATTTTAAACTTACAGCTAGCACACCATAACAAATTCCATCTTTTCCATCATCTTTTTTACAAGTCAATTTTAAGTAATCAAGACTAATTTTTTCTAATTGCTTTAGTGCCCAATCTGATAACATTATCCAAGCGAGCTGCAATTGTTGGAAAGATACGGTGCAATAAGAATTGTATTCAATATAAGAAATTTATAATGAGCATATATATAAAACAGTAAACTTGCGATGGAATTCATGATAAATATGAGCTATAAAAAATAAATAAAAAATGACGAATGTTAATAATATATAGAATTAATTATAGAAAATTTCGAGCTTTATAAGAAATATAGTACTTACAGCAAAGCCAACTCTCGTTGCAATGGAATTATTACAATTACATGACTTGAATGCTAAGTTACAAGCAGCTGCGGAAAAGCAAGAAGCAATTGCAGAAGATACCCAGGAGGCAGCACCTAGACCTAGGCAACTAAAACCAAGACCCATTTTTTTTTGTGAATATTTCGAGAAAAAAATATGATAATAAATACTAATTGCGTCAAAATACGCCAAAGTTATATATCTGTCTTGTAGAATTTGTGCTACGTACGGTATTATTGTATTATTAATATTATATCGGGTATTCCCAGACAGAATTAAAATTCAATATGTAGAATTAGCACTTTAAAAAAAATCGGAAAAATCCGAATTTAAAAGATTTCTCGGAAGCATTCCAAAAAATTCGAAATTCGATAATCCCGATAATCTAATCCTGATATTTCATATTTCCCTGACATTTAATTCTGTTAAAAGTCATTAATGAATCGAGTTTTCGGGGATTGCATTTAATTTTATTTTCGAGTGTTATTCTATCGCAATTATTAACTGTTAAGTATGGTTGGCTATCAATTCTACTAAATTTCTATACTAACCCCTTTAAGTTTGAAAAAATTTTTTGTTTTTATTGTGATTTCTCCATTTCGAATCAGAGTTAACGTCTATAGAATCTTACAAGTATGTTTTTTTCTCTAATGGATTCCAAGTTATTTCAATATGATGTATATTTAAAATATGTATCGTTATATTTTTTAATATTCGAACTTATTAAAATAAGTTATGAAATATAATCTTCTCTCTGAGCGAAAATCTTTTTTCGCTTTTATAAACACTTATAACGGACATTATTATTAATTAATTTGGTTTTCTATTTTAAATTCAGAGTATTCGTCGAATAATGCCTCCTGGAGTAGAGTTAGTTTGGGTAATAATTACGACTAGTATCGATTTGAATAAATATTAACAACAAAACTGTATATATTTTAATATGGTCTCTTATTTTTATAATTTTCGAATTTTACGGAATCATACAACACTTTTTGTGATTCAGTCGTGACTTTATAAGCCCAAGCAATGCAATAATGAGATGCAAGAAGATGCCATTCTTCGAGTTCGTCTAACATTTCCAATTTTGAGATCCTACATTTCAAAATAATTAAGTCAAAATTATTTAATATTTTACCAAGAATAATAATAAATGATTACCTAATATGTTCCTTTGGATCTATATAAAGATCATAAACTTCATTCATATCGACAGCTTCAGCATGTATCCATCCGCGTGATAAATATCTATCTTTTTGACTTTCTAGATTAGGATAAGCATGTATTCCGCGAAGTTCTATATTTCGAAGTTTTATATTTTGTAACATTATAGATCCAAAAGCATCATTTGGCAAAATTTGTTCATAAACTATAAACATTGTTGTATTTAGATTGGTACCAATCCATTCCACAATTTTATTAGAATCCATTGGGTCCATATATATCATCACGCATTCAGATAAGAATAATGTTGAAAGACTTATACAAATAAAAAAATTTTGCTTATAATATTTATAAAAAACTGTATGTTTTAAAATTTTTTGTATTTACATTTACCTTCGATCAAATCCGTTGGACTCTAACCTTGGCACTAAATCTTCGATAAATTCACGAAGATCTCCTGATAACAAACAATAATCCGATGCATAAATCTCAGAGCCTCCCTTACCTGAATATTGATTGATTAAATTAAAAATGAGTAAATGAACTGATTATTAAATTGTATTGTAACGGACCTATTCGAGCATCATCACCAATAATTTCTGATAATTCTTTATTTGTTTGAATAATTGCAACTTTTTTTGCAGTATTTTCGGGAAAATCAATTTCAAAATATTTATGAAATTTTCGCGATGATGACTTGAAATAAGTGAAATTTATAATAAGTTAATTTTAAACAATTTTATAAGAAATAAAAAAAAAAAATTAAAACCTTTAAATTAAAATATCGCGTATCAGATCCAGCACCAAGTGATACTATTTGTTTCTTTCCATCTTCAATTTCCAAAAATTTTATTATCAGAGTATCTAGTCCTTTATTACGTACATATGATCCTAATTTTTAAAATAAAGTAATATAAAGAAAACGGTAAATCAATCCACAAATAAACCCACTAAGACGATACTTCCTCTTACCTATATTAATAATAGGCGATCTCTTGGTAGGTCTTTTGAGAAAATACTTTATATACTCATCTTGAATATATCCTGTATTTACAGAGGACCTATAAACGTATTTGATATTTTCATTAATTAAATGTCAAATTTATATATATTTGTATATATTACCATTCAAAAACTTTACATATTCAGATTTTTTGCCAATACTTTTCATATAAAAGTAAAATGTTAGCCGCAGTCAAAGTTTATAACTTACAATTTACTCATAGCTGCATCCTCATTAGTTCCGCGAATAGCATTATCTTGAATTGAAATATCTTCGTCTGTGAGAGTTCGGAAAGTCATTCTAATTCAAAATGTGAAAATTTTACAAACTCTAATTAAGCATGATTTGATTCATTATGATTGGCTGGTCGATTTTATATTGTCTTAAAATAATAAGACCCTGGTTAGAGTGGAATTTTTGGGCTATGAAATGGTCAGAAATAATTTTTAGTTTTTTATAACTTAAGACCAGTGTTGTATACGGACAGCCTTTGGACATGATTTTGGACATTTTGGACAAAAAAATAAAAATGAATTTATTCAAAATTTTATTAAGATAATATTCAAATCTTTTAAGCAAAAATGTTTAGACTTAAACAAAGAATAGAATTAAATAATTTTTATTTCTATTACTAAAATATTTAAGGCTATGGATAGCTTGGACACTTTGGACACTTGGACGTTTGGACATTGGATATGTCCAAGAAGGCCACATAAAATTTATGAATTGGTTCTTATAACCCGGCCGGGTCAAAGTTTAAAAACTTTCAAAACAATTTTTTTATATGTTTTACAGCTGTTTTCATTCTGACTTATCGAATCGGATAGTCTATCCCAGTTAGAATGAATAACCGGGTGGATTTATGTTATGAGAACCAAGTAATTACTTTGCATGGCTAAATTCTGCTTAATTTAATAAAAATCATGACATTTTAATAAATAACTTTTTATAAGTAAAATCTTATTTCTTATCATTTAAATTATTACGGCTTGCAAAAAGGTGTGACACTGTATATTTCAATAAGCAATTGTATATTTTAGATAAAACTTTTAAAATTGTCAAAGAATCAAATCTTTGATCGCATTTTTTTTCTTGACTTGTACACGTGATCTCTCGTTACACCTGATCTTACAATTGGATTTCCTGTAAACTAGGAAAATAGAAACTATTAAAGGTTCGAAGGACAAAAGAATTAAATTTTGAGAAAAAAACGAAAAAGCTAAAAGACAAAAAACAAAAACTTTGAAATAAAGACCAGGCCAAATGTATAGGAAATTGCTAGTACGTGTAATCTATAGACTTTGTATAATATCAGAATTAATTGAATTGTTAGATTTGAACAAGCGTGAGTATAAATGACATGATAGTAATATAACAATCACTATCAAGCTTTGTTATCATTGTCCTGCTCAAGCTCGGCTTAAGATTCGCGTAAATCGGCAATCTTCACTTGGGGGGTTTTTTTTTTTAGATTCCTATAATAAAACTATAACAAAAGTGTACGTGAGCAAAAGATGTTCATCATTATAAGGAAGTTCATAGCCAATCTTCCTCAAGAGTCAGCAGACCCTATTCAAAACATCTCATAGGGGTTTAAATTACATACCCCATCTTTATTTGTTGCTTTCTTCTTAAGACGAGGTGGAATTTACTGTTTCCGCGCCTATGACCCGCCAATATTTCCACATAATCTTTTAGTTAGAAAGGAAGAACGTTCACAGTAGGCCGTCTACTTGACTAGTAACTTTCGCAAACTGTGGTCACGACGCGCTTCCAGTTCCTTTCTAACTATCTTAAAACCTCAAAGCAATATGCAAAAATACTAACCTGATTTTTAAAAGAGAGTTTACTTAAAAACACTAATTTAATACGCATAAGTTATATATTAAGAAAATAGAAACTATGAAGATTTAATTTTTAATTGGTTTTTATATACGCGTATTATTTATTCTAATTAACCAATCAAAATCGAAAAAAATGATCTCGTTATAAACAACCAGTATTTACAGCTGTTTTCATAAATTCTGGGACATCTGGCAAAAAATGGTCCGAACAAATATTGCCGGTTCGATAAGTT